CCCGCGGCCGCTATTCGGGCCAACGGGATTCCGGGAGGAAGTCCCACTCGGGCTCCCCGCTCATTGGGCCGGTCCCAGCCGCCGCTCCCTCCCTCCGGGGAGCAGAGCTGGGCCCGATTGGACTCCCACTTTGTCCGTCCGACCCCGGGGCCTCGCCCTCGCTCCCAGCTCTGGGGCCGGCAAAGGGCTCAGTGGGCTGAGTGCGCCCACGTGGACCCCGGGCGGGTGGGGAGCGGCTCGCAGGGAGGGCAAGGGCGGGGACTCGGGGTGAGAGAGGGACGTGTCACGGCCTGAGCCTGGTGAGGTTCAGGATGCGTTGTGCGTGCGTGCGTGCGCGTGTGTGTGTGTGTGTGTGTGTGTGTCTGTCTGTCTGTCTGCGTGCTCGCCCGCGTGCTTGGAACGCACGTGGAGTACAATGTATATATAATACAGACAAATGGCTTGCAGCAACTGAGTGTCCTTTAGGTCTTTTCCTATTCTGTGGGCCTATGAGGCACTCGCACCGGGGAGCGACTTGGCACCATCTGTGACTGAGCAGGAGGTGCCCTGCTGACTGAGCCTTGCCCTGCCAGTTTACTAGTCTGGGTGCGCAGAAGCGCGCTAGTCTTTCTGCTCAGCTGGCCACGTGGGGTGGGGAAAGCAGTTTGCTGTTGGCGGAGGAAAAGAAATGATCTCATGTGTTTCCCCTGGCTGCAAATAGAATAATTTACAAAACAAATCTTACAGGCCAAAAGGAGCATGCATTCATTTTGTCGTATGTTTGTTCTATTGGTTGGAAAAAAAATACATCAGTTACATTTCTGAATTGCATTTTAAAGGACAACAAAGGTTCTATATGTAGAAAAATGAGTAAAACAAACATAATACTAAACCTTTTCAAAGAAATCCGCAGTACATTTGTTCTTTCTATTTGCTTAAGGCAGATGGGAGGAGGACTGAAGTTATGAGTAGAGGGTAATTTTGTTTCTGGTTTGACCTGAATTTTAAGCGAAATAAATTACTTCAGAAACGCATAAGTAGCATGGTGGCATTTATGACATAGGGCATAATTTTTATGCTCTTTTAATGGGACTTTCATCATCACCACTAATAATATATAGATCTGCTAGCCTGGCCAAATACAACCAAAAGGCAGGTCCTGGTGTAGAATTATTTTAGGTGCACTCTGAAGTTATAGATTGTCAACAGTCGTAAAATGAGCCAAATTTACAACCAAGCTATCCTATGACACTTACACTACTGTAAAAATTAACTATCTGACGTGCTTGTCTTGATTAAAAAGTAACTTACATTAAATAGTTTTTAAATGTTTTTATTACAGAGACTATCTTGCTTAGCACAATCGGAATTATACTGTAGTTACATGTTGGTAAGTAAAGAAACCAAATTTTATCAAAGTGAATGTGATAGCTCCAGGACCTTCGAGGTCTACCAGAAAGTTAATTGCTCAGGAAGCTTACCAAAATCTTCCTCTTTCCATCTGTTTCTCTTATAGAAAGCAAGTTGTCATTCTGCTTGAATGTGTTACAGAACCTGCATCCAGGGCTGGGGATTTAGCCTAGCGGTTTGGTGTCCTGCCTTGAAAACACAAGGACCCGAGTTCAATCACTGGTACCAAACCAAAAAAAAAAAAAAAAAAAAAAAAAAAAAAACCCGATCAAACACACAGAAAAAAAAAAAAAAAAAAAAAAAAAAAAAAAAAAAAGAACCTGTATCTGTTCCATTAAAATAAGAACTTAACTTTTTATTTGTTGATTTATTTATTGTTATTTATTTTTGGTACCGGAGATCGAACTCAGGACCTTGTGCTTGCAAGACCGGTGCGGTGCCACTGAGCTAAATCCCTCCTGAGAGTTTAATTTTTAAAAAGTGATCCAAAGAAATTGCAAGGTTTTGTTCTATTGTATTACCTTACTTGTGAATCTATCACTCTAAATTTCCATCTTTCAATTTTACTCTTAGAAATTACGACTGGATAATTACTGACATCACTTTAGAATCCTTAAAAATCTTTTACAGTTGTCAGTGTAGAATTTGCCAAACAAACTCTCCTAGAAAAAAAAATTACTCTGGAAGAGACGAAATTTATAAGAATAATTCTGTCCCCATACTTGCATAAAAATTTATTTTAGTCACGAAAAATAAATTGTACAGAAAATTAGAAAACTATGGCTCACATATTACACAATGTACAGTATAGCCACAAAAGAAAAATAAATTGTACAGAAAGAGAACTATGGCTCACATATTACACAATGTACAGTATTTAGTTGTACTTCAGGAAAATTTGAAAATTCATATGCTTCTTGAATATGTGATTATTCATTTTAAACCTCTGATGCGAGGCTTGAAAGGTATTCTTTGCCTAGAGCTGCTGGCAAACTCAGAGTATAATAAATGTAGGCCATAAAACACAACTCAATGTTTTACTCATAAAATTTAAAAGAAAAAGTTACAGCCTCAATTTATCCTTTATTTCACATTCAAGAAGGGTACTAAAAACCACTAACAGTGGTGTCTCTATAATAGCTATATTTTGAAAGTGAAGTAGGCTACTGGAAGATATGAGTATAGAGTTGAGCATTCAACATGAAGGAATCCAGGGTCTACAAATTAAATTGACATAACATTATCTTGGCTCGAGCCTGTAATATATGAGCCGCTGATACTGCTCTGGGAAAATCCGTTCTCACTTCTATTTTTTATTTTAAAATTAGTATATCATTATATTTCTAATTTCACCTATTTAACAATATATATATATATGTACAATTCGAAAAATTATAAATCCTGAGGAATTTCACTGCTGTAATAATTTACTTGTAAAGCAGGAAGAAATTAACTTAGACTCAAAATCTTGCACTTGAGAAGAAAACATTTGGGAATTTTAGCATTCTCTCTAGCTCAAGTGAATTTGACATTTTTCTCAAATTTGTTCGTTTTCCAAAAAGGCAACAAAAATAAAGTTGAGGTATAATTTGTAAAAATAGATGATGCTAAATTAATAAATATTTGGGATCCTAAACAAATAATTTCCTTTGTCTGAAATTTTATTGTTTAAATCTCTTTGCTATCAATAGAATTCAATATCTTTATTTGCATGAGAAATTTAAATATCATCTTAAAATTTAAGACGCCTTTTCAGAATAAGCCACAGTGTTATAACATAATGTTAAAGGAAAAGGTAGAAAGCAAAGTTGTATAAACAATATGCTTTCAAGAATGTGAAGTTACATATAGAAAAATACTTTCATATGTCTTCCTACTTTTATGTAAGTAGATGAAAAGAGAAAAGATAGATGATGCAAATACCCTGTGAAAATCTACTATTTTGTGGATCATAATGCTTTGTACTCGTTTGCAGTTTTTAATATTGTGGATCATATTTCTTATGGCAAGATCTGTTTCCTACAAGGCATGACCTGGTATCAAACCGTGCAAAAGAGCAAGATTCCTAGCACTATGACTTCCAATCAATAAAGGCTCCCTTCTCTCTTATTCTAGTGTGGTAATCAGTTAAGGGCTCTTTTTCACTGTTACTAAAGGAGACTTAAACATTCATATCAACATGACTCTCTAAAAATCATATCTGGTGCTGTGCTTGGTCTGGAGTAAACCCTAAAAAAGAATTTGTTGATTGAATAAATAAATGACACAAAAGATTGAATCGATTTTCTACCTCTGCCATATGTCAAATAAAATAGGGGAATCAACAAGATTAATGTTAAAAAGAGATATAGAAAACAAAATTATACAATAAAATGTAGAATGTTTATCTGATTTAAAATGTAATTTTTTTAAAATACAGAAGCATTAAAAGAATAAAGGAAACTTACAAACATATAGAAAATATTTGTAGATATTAGGTTGTGTCAATCACAGCTCTAACAACTTTAAATGATATAATTTTAAATATGTCGCTAAAACAAGATTATTAATAAAAAATTACAAAACTCAGAAAACAATAACAAAAAGAACCAAGTAAAAATATTTGAAAAAGTGTTCAATCCTATTTGAGTAATCTAAGAAATGAAAAATTAATAATCATCACTATTAAAATCAGCAAAGTTTTTAAAGATTATACTAAGATTGGCTTAATGTGGCAAAATAAAAGGATATGCTGCATAGTGAACTCTGAATTAATACATATTTTCTGAATAGCAAGCTGGCTATACAGCTCAAGCACCATAAAACATTCATGCTTTTTCATTTAATAGTTTCTCTTCTAGGAGTCCTTCCACAGAATGCAATTGGAGCTTAGAAAAACTTTTCTACATGTACAGGTAGTCATTACAAGCTAGAGATGTGTTTTGTTTCCCCAGGATTCATGT